CTCTCCTGCGGCTTCTCTCTGCGCCACTCTGCTCGTTCCTATTCTTCTGACGCCTCCTCTCCGTTTGTCCTCCGCGGCTCGTCCGGCCAGAGAAGCAGGGGAATGGGGCCTGGCACCGCTCCCCCATTTGTATATCCGTTAGTTTAGTCCTACATGGTGTGTTTTCGGGTTCGTTCGTCGGATTGGAGGCTTCGACGAATTCTCTTCATCGCTATTCTCGGTGTTCCTGCCTTTGTTCTCTCCGACGGTGGTCTTCTCCGGGTATGGCTTGAATCATCCCCTCAAAATAACCTTTTTAGTTCATTTCTTGTAGGATATGTTTCCCTTTCTTCTGATCCGGGAACCATGCCAACAGATCGTGGTCCTTTCCTTTCTCCCATTAGCAGGAAAAGAAGTGTCTGTCATATCAAGTCATGCTTTGTTCCAAGATACACAGTGGACTATGTGAGCACCTTAACAAAATTACTCGACAGTTTGTGTGGGGCAGCAAAGATGGCAAGCGTTAGGCCGAGCTGGGTCTCATGGAAGGTAATGACACAACCAAAGTTTATGGGGTGCCTTGGTTTTCAAGACTTTAATGTTTTTAATCTTGCTTTAGTAGCGAGGCAATCATGCGCATTTTGCAGACACTTGAATCCCTATGTGCAAGATTGCTAAAAGCGATTTATTTCCCTAATTCATCAATCCTAACTGCTGAGGTGGGCACCCACCCCTCACAGTTGTGGCGCTCAATCAGTGAAGGAAGGGATGTTCTCTGTTAGGGATTGATTAGAAGGATTGGCAATGGACCATATACCCGTGTATGGACCGACCAATGATTTCAACGAGATGAATTTTTGAGACCGTCTGCGTGTCTATCCAGCCACCCACCCATGTTGGTCAGTGAATTGGTTGACAATACGACTGCCACTTGGCGACGGAAGATAATTGGCCAAATGTTCTTAGCAGCCGGCCATGATGCAATAATGGGTATCCCCATGTGCATTAAGAACACATGATTTTTGGGCCTGGAATTTTGAGAAGAATGAGATTTTTTCCATTAGGTCCGCACACCGAATGTTGGCGGCGACTAAGGTTCGTAGAGAAAACTGGTTGAAAGGAACCACATGATCATCTGATCATGTCGCAGAAGGGAAGGGAAAGCATGGGCTACTATATGGCGAGTTGACATGCCATGAAAGGTACACAACTTTCTTTGGCGTCAACAATCTATTCCAACTGAAATTGTTTGTCGCAAGAGAAAGATGCCATACTCAGATCATTCCTTGCTAGAATGTTCCCCACGAATCCCCTGCAGATGATTGGGTGTAAACCCTAATACTCTTCAATAAAGCTTGGGTTTACTGCTAAAAGAACATACACGCCACAGCGAGTGAAGCAGCGGCGACTCGTTGGACCGGTTTGTTGTACGTGACGGGACGGCCCTCTAAAACACGACTCGGTGACAAGTAATTCGGTTTCGGTAAGTATAGAGGTGGAGAATTCTGACCGAGTTCACGAAATTACAAATTACAGTCAAGTTAGTCATTGCGTAAATACAAAATCGAATTGTTTTGGTTGAAT